GCACATTCCAATCAGTACTCTACATATTTATAAGCGGTGGCAATCGTTAGGAATAGGTCGTGAGTTGTCAGAGTGCTCTAGTATATGAGAGAATGTTTTGTTTGTCTAATCGACGGCTCGTTTGAAGCCAGAGTTGTTTGAACTTGTTTCAGTCGACTTGATTCTAGACAGTAGTCGAAGGAGTACTATGAAGTATACACCAGGCGTAGTCTGTAAGGTATCTCGTGAGAATTCTGTCGGTACACATCAGGTATCAGCTTGCAAAGATGGCTCCTCTCTGTTTCTTGAAAGCCTGTATAGTTGGACTGTGGCTCCAGCGATTCCCTTCTCAGAGCAGGTACCATACCCAATACGGTCAATGCATATTGGACAGACCTGTGTGCACAACAGAAATAGTGGAGAGAAATCTCTCAGCTCATGAACACATCAGTGAAGTTTAAACTGCCGTTGTTTGTGGCCATCAGTATAAACCTATCGACTATAAGAATAATGTGCAAAAAACCCTCTATAACTACAGCTGGGGCCATGGAATTATAAAGCATCTAACTTAGGGAACTGCCAATTCTGGTCGGAGTTGCGTTCGAGGCCTGCAATTCATGATGGCTATCGTATGTTGCATTGACCAGAGATCATATAAAACGTCCATGCCACATTGAAACACGCACTACTTTCGAGTACTTTGGTATCCCCCACCAAATGGGCATTCGTTCCCGGGGTGGCAGGCGTCACCATTCGTTATGCCTGGATCAGATTTCATTGACCCCAACTGTCATGAATAATCATTTTAACTTTGACTGGATTTCAGTACAAGTTGTAGAACTGCAGAATAAATTTTGTTGTATTTGGGCAACCATTTCTCTACGAACGGTCTATTCGGAAAATAATTTTTTTAATAAAATATATGTCCAAATTCCACATCTACCCAAATCGGAATACTTGATCACGTATTCAGTCCTACACGGAATGTTTAGAAAACGCCAGGGAATAGGAATTTGCTAACGAGAACTCCAGGCCAGGGTACTAGCATACGAACAAAACAAGATAAAAACTCACCAGTATACTTGTAGTAATTCATGTCGGTGTAATATTCACGATAAGCAACGAGGCACCCTCCGATTTGGTCAAGATTCTTTGAAGTCTGGTTGTTCAGGTGATACAAACGGGCTCCCCGTTGTTACTTCCAGCAGCTTCACTCTCCCTGCGACAGCGGCTATCAGCCTCTCTCTCCATCGTCGACAATTATCACAGATTCAACATTCTACATTTATCAGCACTGCACTGGGTGAATATGTCTCGAGACGAATTTAGCGGATCAACAACGCTTTGATGGAGATAAATTCTCCTCTGGAGGACCTTCAGGGTACCTGGAAGGGTATAGAAGACGGGATCGCTCACGGCGTTGGGAGAACATAGCAAACAACCTCCTCTTCGATTGAAAATTGGCCAAAAAGTGTGTGAAATGTATGTGCGCAGATGCATTTCCACTGGCAAGCTAATCCCTCATTACGTCATCAGCGCTCGCTCGGCCGAAATTCAAAAGTCGTCTTCCTGCTCGACTCGATCGCTTCTGGAGACTCGTTCTTGTTCGAGGGGTCTTCTCTTTCACCTACCTTCGTCTTGGCATCGAAAACTCGGCGTCGAAAATGAAGCCGGAGTGCCCCTTTAACTATGTTATACCATGCGTTACTGGTGCATAGTGCTTTTTTTACGTCCGGTATACCCTCAAACATCAGGTATACCCACACACACATCAGGTATACCCACACACCCGTACACACGTACCTACATACCTCCGGTGGAATGAGTTAGTATGCAGGGAAATAGTTCTGGCGAGGAGTAAAAATGTCGCTGTGTTTGGCTATTGATTATCTCCTGTTGGTAATATATGGCGAGGAGACAACAATTTGGTAGCGCCATCAATAAGACAAGTTGAATCGACATTTGTGTATACAGTAAAAACCTGGGTGTAAGCGACCTCTGGGTTTAGCAACCACCTGCTCTTAGCGACCGTTTTTCCATGCACCGACAGTTCTACACAGACACTGTGGGACCTGGTTCTAAAGACCACCTGGCTTTAACGACCGTTTTTGCTTGCACCGTGGAGTGATCGCTTTATACCAGGTTTTTATACGACTGTACTTTATTCGTGCAGTGTAAAATGGTGGAGAACGAATAAAGTATACACAAATATCGATTCAGCTTGTCTTATTGATTCCTGTTGGTAAGATATTTTTGTGCAACTCCACCTCATTCGCTCTCTAGCCAACCTCATTCAAACCTCCTGTTCGCCGTTGTCATCGACGTCATGGTCGCCATTGCCGTCACTGATCTCTTCATGTCCATGTTTTTGTGTACAGATCTTCGACCTTGCACTCAGCTTGGTTTTCATGCAGTTACATTCTGAAGTTGGCTATCAGCAGGAAGTGCTGGATGCTGCTGCTTTCTTACAGTAAGTCAGAGAGGGTTGTGGAGTACATGTATAGTGATGAGTGTACGCGATTATTACGCGTTTTGCCAGTATTCGTTAGTGTCGTGTACGCAGGTGTGCAATGTCTGAATAACGACTTGAATCCTGCGCTTGTCTTTGCGTTTGTGTGTGTATGTGTGTCTGTGTGTGTACGAGTGTGTACATGAGAGTGTGTGTGTATGTGTGTGTGTGTGTGTATGTGTGTATATGTGTGTGTTTGTGAGTGCTTGCTCTTCTTTCATTCTCCTGAGTGGTTACCAACAGCCAGTGTATGCCGGAGTATGTGGTGTGGTGTGTGTGTGTCAAAAAAGAAAGAAGAAAAAAGAAAAAAAGAATGAAAAAATGAAAATGAAAAATAGGGATTCACTGGCCAGAAAAAGCCAATTTGATCAGCTGTGTGGTGGATACCAGGCTAAAATTAGCGGCGGTCAATTCATCAGCCTTGCAAGCTGTTGAATGGTGTAATCCCAGCACAAGTTGCTATGTCTAACATGGCTGTTCGCTATCATCGCTTCAGCGATTGGCAGGTCTGAGGTCTGAGGTGTGAGAGAGAAAGAGTTTGTGTGTATGTGTGCACATGTATGTGTGTGTGTGTGTGTGTGTGTGTGTGTGTGTGTGTGTGTGTGTGTGTGTGTGTGTGTGTGTGTGTGTATGTTCACGTGCACAGGGGACCGGCACGACTGAGTATGTGCAGCTGGTCCACACCGTTTTCTGACACCACATCCTCCGTCACCATGGAGACTGTCATGGGGCCCAGCAGTCACCAGAATCTGTTGCTAGTGTTCGACCGGTCAGTTCACAGCAGCACTTTACTTTAGTCCACCTTATGTTTAGTGTATTTTATATACAGTAAAACTTGTCAAGGCGACCACTCGGATAAGGCAACCACCTGTCCTAGAAGACCACCGAATCCAGCACCAAGGGATGCTATTTCCAGTCAAATGACCCTGGATAAGGAGACCACCTGGTTACACCGACCACGTTTTCAAGGTCCCTTGAGCGGTCGTCTTAGACAGGTTTCACTGAATAATTATCTCCTGGCCCGCCGTAAAGCTGCCAATAGTGAGAATGAGATGAAGGGTGGTAACCAAACACGGCTAACTAAAAACTACATTAAAACAATGAGAGGGAAAAGAGAGAAGAGGAAGAAGAGAACGAGAGGTGACAAGATCAGTGAGATGCACGTGGAGAGAAAGCGCAAGCATGTTGTTGTTGTTGTTGTTGTTGTTGTTGTTGTTGTTGTTGTTGTTGTTGTTGTTGTTGTTGTTGTTGTTGTTGTTGTTGTTGTTGTTGTTGTTGCTGCTGCTGCTGCTGCTGCTGCTGCTGTTGTTGTTGTTGTTGTTGTTGTTGTTGTTGTTGTTGTTGTTTCTGTCGTTGTTGCTGTTGCTGTGGCTGTTGCTGCTGCTGCTGTCGTTGTCGTCGTTGTTGTTGTTGTTGCGACTAAATCATGGTGGACATGCCTTATCTATTGTTGATTGGCCTACAGGGAGAGCGAAATTTTATTATGACCGCTGTAATACTCAATCTGCGGGCAGAACTGTTTCGTCCTTTGTGGACTCATCAGCGCAGCACGGACAAAATGAGGCCAAACCTGATAGCATTGAAAATAATATACGAGGCCAGGTTTAAACAAGGCCCAAACGTACCTTGCTAGAGTGCTCAATTGACCACTGTAATGTTGTCCGTAACCTCGTGGAGGTCCCGTCCGTGACCTCTATGAGGTCGGTCCCCTTTTGGTGCATATATTCTGTGTGGCGCTGCGTCCGGACTGCGCAGCTTACGCCTCAGAGCGCACGCACACTATTATATATTGTATGCATTCTTGTTTTTCTCCTTGGCGGCCTTCTTCTTGAGACTCTCGTTGAACAACAACCAATTATCAATCCTCTGTGTGTGGTGTGTCGAGTCGGGAGTAATAGAAAGGGCAAATCGTTCGGACATGAAACCCTGACCACTGTAATATGTGGCCTACGCTTGCTCATGCCACGGACCAATAGTTCAAACTGCACTCCGATTATCTTGCGAGCGAATTTTCGAGTGCAGACGTGCCTGATTCGCTTAATGTATACTGAGTCGTCAATCTGCAGCCTAGCCTACTCCATGTTAGACTCCGTGTGGATACTCCTACTCGTCTCAACTGTGTGTTCTTGCTCGTGTTCTGTGTGTTGTTTGCCTTGCGGCAATGCAGCGGCCCGCTGTGCAACGTGTGCTTTCAGCTTGGTGTCATCTCGAGAGGGCTGCTTGGGCCACTGCAGTTGATGAGCGAGTACATCAGTCACAGGCAAATCCCAGCTGTGAGTGACTGAACGGCTAGATGATACTATAGTCGAGCCAGATTTCCCCTGCTGCTGCTGCTGCTGCTGCTGCTGCTACTACTGCTGCTTTAACCTGGATACACTTGTCCAGTGACGAACAAACAGGACACCCCAAGGCCCAGCAGAACCGATCCGGTTGGTCAGGTCATGGCCCGACCAACTTTTTGGCCACCAACGCGTGCTTACTGCTGATTTGGTCATGTCTACACTCCATATCATACACAAAGTATGAAAGGCTAGGGTATGGCCAATCAAAGACTCCTTCTGCCGGTCCTGACCCAACTCCTTCTTCTAAGGGTGTACCTGCCTGCCCAGGGATGCCTGCCTGCAGGTGGCACGGTTAATGGACGTCCAGCTAAGATAGGTTCTTGTGTGTACTTCCAGTGCTACTGTGTTGTACATGGTACGGTACTGGGCGGGCAGTTCTTGGAGCATTGGTCGGACCGTGCTCCCGTCTGATCCTGGGATGTCGTGACCAGATGGCCTGTCTGTGTGTTTTGTGTGTCCACATGCAATGCCCTCTAAGGCAATAGCTCAGATCCTGCTCTTCTGATCCTAGGCCGATATCATGATCAGATGGCCTGTCTGTGTGGGTGTGGGTGTCCACGTGCAATGCCCTCTAGGCAATAGCTTGGACCCTGCTCTTCTGATCCTGAGACATCATGATTAGATGGCCTGTTTGCGTATGTGTGTTTGTGTATGTGTGTTTGTGTGTCCACGTGCAACCCGCCCGAAGGCAATTGCCCTGCTGCAGCATATAGACTGGAATCGGCAGGCCAAGACAGCCTTCATTGCCATGACGATGGTGGTGGATCACCTGTTGCGTGTTCCCCTGAGTGCCGAGAGTGAAGGTAAGGACGTGAAACACATGAGCAACTACTCGTAGTAGTGTGTGATGAGAGGAGAGTCATTTTATTTTATTGATTTATTGCAACATCTCAACGCTCAGTGGAAACACCGGCCAATGTGAAGAGAGTGGGTGACAGCCAACCACGGTGATGAAGACAAGTAGGGGTTAGGAGGGAAAACTTTGACAATTATCCTAATAGAGTCCAACCTCATCTGACCGTCACGGCACGGTTGTTTTTCTTTCTTTCAGGAAGCTCCACAGATAACGATAGGGGAGCCAGCCGGATTTTAAAAGGTTACTCTTCAGTCAACAGGATCATGAGTAGTTAGTAATAGTTTATACAAGTTTATAGGGGTCAAACGGGTGTACCTTTAACTAACGAACGGGTAAATTTCTTAACGGGCGGGTTAACGGGTACCCTTTAGCAGCCATATTATTTTTTTGCGCATTTCTCACATAAATAAAATTTGTATATTCACAGGTTGTATTTTGATACCACATTATGATTCGCAATTGATTCATGTCTCATAACAATATTATGGCAATGAAGGTTCCAACCGGCCAAGTGAATGTCATCCGTACATTTGCCCATGTACATAACTTCACAGGCAGTTACAATCATACATGGTCCTAGTGCTACATGTATTTTCATACATGTACGCAAATCAACTGCAGATCGATGTGATTCAAGCCATGCCAGGACCGAGTACTGTAAGACATGTATATATAGCGAGGAAGCAAATCTAACGTTTTAACGGATGACATTTCTTCGTTATAATAGATCCGTTGAGGCCGTACTGCTTCGTATATGCTGGGTGTGGATATGGCAGAATACTGCAAGATCGTTAACATATCTTCTCGTTAACCAGTGAATTTTGGACAATCGTTAAATTTGCGACTCGTTATAATAACATGTCTTACAGTAGTTAAGCAAAACTTCCATGATCTCGCGCAATCCTATTTGCTATGTTCGCAGAGAACTGGTTCTCTTCGCATTCAGAAGATGTTCGCACCCATAGCTAGCTGGGGTGCCTGACACAGCTGATGTGCTGCTGGCCAGCTAGCTGCTAGTGCTAGCTCGTTGAACTCGTGAAACGAATCTTCACAAATCCGTAATCTTATATGCAATATTTCGAACTACTTTTCAACTAAACCGAGCTCATCGATTGAAGGAACAAACTACAACCAGTATCATAGCTACCACCTACGGACATCCCCGTGTGTGACACTCCAACTGGTCACTCAGCCTGGTGACACTAGTTCATCTTCAAGTACTGTGGCAGGTTCGATGTCGGAGAACCTTCGTAACTTTCTAGTACATCAGCTGCCACCTCGAACGAGTGTCAAGTCTTGCATTTTCTCACATCACAATAAAAACCTTCAGTACGAGGATCTTTACTTGCACTAGAGTGGAGAGAACGACTGTTTTTCAGCCTGCTCCTGCCTGGCAAAGTCAAAAGCAGGAATGCACAGGAAAAAGGAAAAGAGTATCCGCAATCCTATTTTTGAGTCTTGGCATATGATAGGATCATTGAATTCCAACTTTTCAACTTTTTTATTTTATTTTTACAAACGAGTACCCTTTTACTAATGGTACCTGAGATTAACGGGCGGGTACCCGGGTACCCGGTACACCCGTTTGACCCCTACAAGTTTATTAGGGGAGTCCCAACAGGCTATGCCTTTTACTGGGAACCCTAAGGATTGCAGTAATTTCGCTCCGAAGAACGTCCAGCTTGCACGTAGCCAAGTTCATCTGATGTGTCGTATGACCAAGGTCACCATTTTGTCATGTGGCCTAAGTCATGTGATTGGTCCTGTAACAGTTTAACCAAGGTCATGCAATGTGTCATGTGACGAAGGCCATGTGATGTGTCATGTGACCAAGGCCATGTGATGTGTCATGTGACCAAGGTCGTTGCAATGTGTCATGTGATCAAGGCCATGTGATTTGGCATGTGACCAAGGAGAACTCTCTCTCTCTCTCTCTCTCTCTCTCTCTCTCTCTCTCTCTCTCTCTCTCTCTCTCTCTCTCTCTCTCTCTCTCTCTCTCTCTCTCTCTCTCTCTCTCTCTCTCTCTCTCTCTCTCTCTCTCTCTCTCTCTCTCTCTCTCTCTCTCTCTCTCTCTCTCTGTATACTGCACGGCTGCATAGCATTCATGGAGGAAGCGCTTGGCTCGTTCCTGGCACCACCGCGTCCACTTGTCCAGAGCATACAGATGCAGTATCGCAATCGCATCAACAACCTCGTTCGACGCTTCTTCCACCAGCTAGTGCGGTGAGTTGGCAGTTCCGGTGCCTACATGCAGCGGCAGGAGCCGGCTTGAGTTGACTTTTTAAAGATGTGTTTCAGTCAGCCGGTGCTGCCGTCTCCTTTGAGCCGTGAAACGTATGGGAAGAGTTTAGATTCAACGCACGATAATCCAACTAGTCGCTTTTCGGATAGTGAAATGGAATGTAAAAACTTGCCTGAGGGTGTGGGCCATAGACAGTTTATTTACATCGATATCAAACATTTAATATTCGCAATTTCGCAGCTTGCGCTTTGAATCTAAACTCTTCATATACATACATACGTGTACATGTAACACAGTCTGAAGCACGATTCCGTACATGTACAAGTAAGTTAGTTCATTACTTCATCACTCGTTGCTCACGTGTACACTGTGTACTGTGCTGATGGGTTTCTGAGAACCGTTGTGCACTGCTGCCACAACTCTCAGGTATCGCAAGTACGAGAAGGCGTTCCTCCTAGCCGAGGACATTGGGGCCAGAGATCTGTTCATGGTGAGGTCGCTAGCTAGCCGCCTGCCTGGTTTGAATAGTGCGTGTGCGCGTACGTGCCTGTGTGCTTGTGTGTGTGTGTGCCTTGTGTGTCCCATATGGTGCAGTGTCGATAGGTTGCGGGTTCGATTCCCGACGATTATGGTCACACACGTCTTTCTTCTCTTTCTCAGACTCCTCCTGACTTTTCTTTCATTCTCCTGGGTGGTTACCAACAGACAGTGCATGCCGGAGTATGTGGTGTGATGTGTGTGTGTGAAAAAAAATGAAAAAGACCAAAAAGTAGGGATTCACTGGCCAGAAAAAGCCACTTCAAAGCTGTGTGGTGTAGACCAGGCTGAATAGTGACGGTCAATTCTTCAGCCTTGCAAGCTGTTGAATGGTGCAATCCCAGCACAAGCTGCTATGGCTTCTGCTGTAGCATCGCTATCATCGCCTCTGGCGATGGGCGTCCAATGGTCCAATGGTGTGTGCCTTCGATTTATCTCTCCCGTCACTTATCTCTTCTTGTCTGTTGTCTCCCGCTTCTGGGAGCTGCGTGGCCCGATACTGGGTAGCTGTGCATAGCACTACTGGTAGTAGTGTCTGTGTGCTGGGGGGGGGGGGGGGAAGGTACTGTAGTCCTGTGTGCTGGGGGGGGGGAGGTACTGTAGTCCTGTGTGCTGGGGGGGGGGGGGGGAGGTACTGTAGTCCTGTGTGCTGGGAGGGGGGGGAGGTACTGTAGTCCTGTGTGCTGGGAGGGGTACTGTAGTCCTGTGTGCTGGGGGGGGGGGAGGTACTGTAGTCCTGTGTGCTGGGGGGGGGGGGGGAGGTACTGTAGTCCTGTGTGCTGGGGGGGGGGGGGGGGGGAGGTACTGTAGTCCTGTGTGCTGGGGGGGGGGAGGTACTGTAGTCCTGTGTGCTGGGGGGGGGGGGGGGAGGTACTGTAGTCCTGTGTGCTGGGGGGGGGGGGGGAGGTACTGTAGTCCTGTGTGCTGGGGGGGGGGGTACTGTAGTCCATCATCTGGGTAAAATCGCAATAAAGAGACCGTTTTGGAATTGAGGAGTGAAGCTTCATAAATGTGTAAGTGGACAGTAAGAAAATATCCTAGTGTCTTCAATTAATCGACCATGTTGATGTTTGCGCTATGGTGTTGATGGTCCACATCAGGATCTGCATTTCCTGGCAGTCGACGGTGGAGAGAGATCGTTGGCAGAGCTGGCTAAACACAGAGCGGAGAATGTGGATTCGGACGAAATTGACAGCGGTGAGTTTTTGCGGGTACTATCAAGAGTACATGATCTTCTACTGGTCTAATGCTTGGGTGTGTGTACAGTAGAGTCGCGCGCCGAAGAACGTGGAGCCCAAGAACGTCCAGCCTGAAATACTAAGAATGGCACAGCCTAAATTTAATTTAAGAACCGCGGTGTTGGTTTTCTAACTTTTCTTGCAGCTTTCCGGAAGTACATAATTCTGATCGGTTGCTTCTCAGAACATGCTATTAGAACGCAGCCAGATTGCTGAAGAATAAAGAATTTTTGCGATGCGACAAGCGATGCGACGGCCGCGAAACCGGGAAATCCCCAAATCGTAGCCATCTCGCAGCCCACGCAACTGCCGCAACTGGGCCATTGCAGAAGTTGAGCTTGGCTCAACTTTTGCGATGCTACAAGCTATTTGGCGTACGATTTTGACCTTTCCTACAGCAAAGTTGTACAAAGGTTCAAGAGTTGCCTGTAAATTTGTACAAGTTGTACCAAACCACGCAAATACCATGGTGACGTACCCACCTGCATTGAACTGCACGCCAAATGTGCAAAGCGTCGTCGCATCGCAGACTTCTTCTGTGAATGGTATTTCGCGAGTTTGCATCGCACGCTTCCGTCGCAGATCGTGTTGCATCGCCCATCGCATCGCAAAAATTCTTCTGTGAATCCCACTTAAGATCGTCCCAGACATTTTCAACCCCTTGGAAACATATTCCTGGGTTTGCGACCCTACTGTACACGTGAAATCGCAATGACTTAGTTTTGTGTTTCGTGTATGGCTGGATATAAGTTTGTGGCCAGATGATGTACAGATTATCAGTTCTGAGGATTGTTTTAGCCGTGCTATGTGCATGAAACGCTTAACCGGCTGTCACTGTTCTCTTCTGCCTTTGTGTGTGCATGTGTGTGTGTGTGTGTGTGTGTGTGTGTGTGTGTGTGTGTGTGTGTGTGTGTGTGTGTGTGTGTGTCTGTGTGTGTGCATGGCGGTGCAGCTTCGCTTGGCTCTCTGGAAGGTGTCGAGGTGGACAGCGACCTGTCGAGCAGTACGCACAGTCGCGCGGCTAGCGACATCGCCGAGGTTACGGGTGTCATGGCGATGACACCGGGTTATGGCGGTGGTGCCTCCGCTGACAGTGACGGTGCCATTCAGGTCGACGTCTCGTCAGAGTCCGAACGCGAGTTTGAGAATCTGTTTGACGACCCGGACGGAGATGAAGAGGACTTGTTTGACAAGGATACCGGTGATGTTGCTGATGCGCTGGGCTCCGTGGAAGGCTTGGCGGAGAGCGAGCTAACGCTGCGAGCGACCGGTGCGAGTGCCAGCAATGTCCGCGACGAGAGGTTCGCTGGCGGCGCCCAGCAACACCAGCATCAGCAACTGACTTCGCCGCTGATGTCGCTGACGCATCCGGATGACGAGCTCAGCTCATCAAACACACCGGATGCTGCCCAGCCGCAACACTTTCCTTTCCATGCTGGTAAGGCGTACACGTGTAGAGTGTTGATGTCAGTGTTTGTACAGTGTTGATGTCAGTGTTTGTACAGTGTTGATGTCAATGTTTAGAGAGGGTTGATGTCGGTTTATACTAGCAGAGCCGTAGCCATCACAGGGAAGGGGAGTGAGGGAGGGAGGGAGGGGGGCAGGGGAGGGGAGGGACGGAGGGGGGGGGGGGAAGAGAGAGAGAGAGAGAGAGAGAGAGAGAGAGAGAGAGAGAGAGAGAGAGAGAGAGAGAGAGAGAGAGAGTGAAAGAGGGGCTAAAATCTACCTATTTATCAGACCTGTCATCTGTTGTTTGTTCTGGCTGCAGGACTAGGAACACCATCAGCACTGCACATCGGCGATGACGCTCACTCGGTAAGATTAGACGTACACGATGACATCAGTGGTGACAGATGAAATCCAACCCCTGATCTACTATAGAGTAGAGCCTAGACGTACACCGTGACAGCATTGGTGACAGATGAAATCCAACCCCAAATATATTATAGAGTGGAGCTTTAGACGTACACTGTGACAGCATTGGTGGCAGATGAAATCCAACCCCAGGCCTGATCTGCGCATACCGCTCAGTACAATGCAAGCACATATCCGCACCGCCTCTGAGGTTACACATGTGCCATAGCATGCTCCCAGCTGCCTTTTTGTAAAGCCGCACACTGTGCTGTGTGTCTACGGTAGTCAGAGCTTCACCCCGTGGCGAACGTTGCACGGCACCGTGCTTCTGATAGGGGTATACGTCTTGAAACTGGTACATGTGTCTTGCCCGCCTGACGCACGTTGAGGCGAGAACCTGATCAAGCAAAGCCAGCGGATTGCCCGCATCCTGCTCACTGCTACAGCCTTGAGTTCAGTTTAATGTGTCCACATGCACAGAGTAATGTGCCTACAGTCCATTTCAAAACTATAGACGCGTACCTAGGCAAAAACCGTTATGCCAGCATCTATACCACATAAAATCTGTGATCACTTTGTGCATATTTTTTTCCAAATTGGGCGTCTGTTATCCAATCGTTTAGAAACTATATGAGAGTAATTGTGGAGCGGTCCTGAGCAATATTCCGAAAACTATTCTCAAAACGTTCCAGCCAAATTTGAAATATTTCAAAAACCCTACCCGTCTATAGTTTTGAAATGGACCGTACATGCACAGATTAATGTGTCTGCTTCCAGCCGAGTCTCACGCGAACCGTAAAAAAATTTTTTTTTAATGCACAGATTAATGTGCCTACATGATCTACTCACCTCCCACCGCTTTAGGAGCTGCATCCACGCCTTTGATCTTTGCAGGGTGGTGGCGTTCCTATGGATGCTAAAAACTCAGTCTAACCGAGTCTCGAGCGAACCGTGAAAAAAAGTGCAGGTTATCATGTGCCTGCATGTACTTCAGACATGTGCATCATACAGTTTAAAGGGGAAGTATACCCTAAAATCAAATTTTCACCAGTTGTAGTCTTCGGGGTGCTGAGTCGAATGGTCTTGGTCCGAGGAAGCTGAGACGCTCCCTTCCTACTTGAATCCCAATCGAACTCGCGCACTTCCACCGAAACTGGGTGACTGCGCCCTACTAGATGGGGATTTGTATGCAAAATGTCACTAAAAGCGCCATTTCGTTCTTATAAAAGCACGGATGACCGCCATTGGCCCATATGTTGTAGTCTTTTGGACGCTGAGTCGACTGGTTTTGGTCCGAAAAGGCTGCGATGCAGCGTTCCTCCTTTATTCCCAATCGAACATGGTTGAACAAGCGGTCACGTGCTCCTGCGTACACCAGTCACCTGGTCACCGTGCCTGCAGGGTACAACTTACTAGCCCGTTTGACCTTTTTTGGGTGCAGTCCTGTCACTCGAGTTGAACTCGAGTTGAACCTTGGTGTGAAAGTTGTCGCCTGCTGGCGCGGTGACCAGGTGATTTGGGCACCCAGGAGCACGTGACCGCTTCTTCAACCATGTTCGATTGGGAATAAAGGAGGAACGCTGCATCGCAGCCTTTTCGGACCAAAACCAGTCGACTCAGCGTCCAAAAGACTACAACATATGGGCCAATGGCGGTCATCCGTGCTTTTATAAGAACGAAATGGCGCTTTTAGTGATATTTTGCATACAAATCCCCATCTAGTAGGGCGCAGTCACCCAGTTTCGGTGGAAGTGCGCGAGTTCGATTGGGATTCAAGTAGGAAGGGAGCGTCTCAGCTTCCTCGGACCACGACCATTCGACTCAGCACCCCGAAGACTACAACTGGTGAAAATTTGATTTTAGGGTATACTTCCCCTTTAAAGGGGAAGTTAAGGCAAAAATTAAAATTTCACCAGTTGTAGTCTTCGGGGTGCTGAGTCGAATGGTCTTGGTCCGAGAAAGCTGAGACGCTCCCTTCCTACTTGAATCCCAATCGAACTCGCGCACTTCCACCGAAACTGGGTGACTGCGCCCTACTAGATGGGGATTTGTATTCAAAATGTCACTAAAAGCGCCATTTCGTTCTTATAAAAGCACGGATGACCACGATTGGCCCATATGTTGTAGTCTTTTGGACGCTGAGTCGACTGGTTTTGGTCCGAAAAGGCTGCGATGCAGCGTTCGCCCCTAATTCCCAATCGAACATGGTTGAACAAGCGGTCACGTGCTCCTGCGTACACCAGTCACCTGGTCACCGTGCCTGCAGGGTACAACTTACAGCCTGTTTTGACCTTTTTTGGGTGCAGTCCTGTCACTCGAGTTGAACCTTGGTGTGAAAGTTGTCGCCTGCTGGCGTGGTGACCAGGTGATTTGGGCACCCAGGAGCACGTGACCACTTCTTCAACCATGTTCGATTGGGAATAAAGGAGGAACGCTGCATCGCAGCCTTTTCGGACCAAAACCAGTCGATTCAGCGTCCAAAAGACTACAACATATGGGCCAATCGCGGTCATCCGTGCTTTTATAAGAACGAAATGGCGCTTTTAGTGACATTTTGCATACAAATCCCCATCTCGTAGGGCGCAGTCACCCAGTTTCGGTGGAAGTGCGCGAGTTCGATTGGGATTCAAGTAGGAAGGGAGCGTCTCAGCTTTCTCGGACCAAGACCATTCGACTCAGCACCCCGAAGACTACAACTGGTGAAATTTTAATTTTTGCCTTAACTTCCCCTTTAATGCAGGGAGTCGTAAAATACCGGTATTTTACAACTCCCTGGTTTAATGTGTGTGCGCATCTTTGTGTCTGTTGCTCAGCACTCGTCCAGGCCATCCAGTGGCCGGGGTTCAGTGCGCGGTTCACCGTCGGTTGTGCCGCGTCACCGCAGTAGGCCGGCCACGCCCAGCTCCAGCACTCTCGGCCCACCGTCACCGGCATCGCCACGGAAACAGAAAGACGTGAAAGTAGTCAATGTGGGTTTGGTGTGATTATTTAAAAACAAAAAAAATCCTCTGGTTATGACCCCCTCCTCCTCGCCCTTTCTTACCTTGTCAGCATGCCTAGTTGTCTGTGTTCAGTATGTTGAGCGGCAACCAGAAGCCAGCCGTTGTTGATTATCGTTTCCACTGTCGTAGACTAGGTGTAGTTTTTGTATTCTGACACTGGCCTTGACCTAGCTATGCCTGTGATTTTTCTTAAATCACCTGTGAGATAAAGACTTTTCTGAAGACGATATTTGTACTTTTTTGTAATTCAGCCTTGAACTTCGAGGTACGAGTATTTTTGTTGAACAATGTAGAATATATCGTCGTCAGGAGGATGAGCTGATATACCGTCTCCTCGCCGTTTGTTGAACAATGTAGGATAGTGTTCCGGCAGCATGTCTACATGTAGCTCTGGTGAAAATGCTGAAGGAATGAGACGAGTGCTTTTATTCTTCTGAAAGAAAGCAGGACTTGCATTGTCCAGCTGGTGCTGCGTAGCACCAAGAGTGCGTGAACCCAGAGTGTGCGGCTTGCAACTGTTTTTTGCATGGGGGGTGTCTGGTACTGTCATGGCAGAATAAGCCTTTTGCGCGTTGTACATATGTACGAAGTTCAGTACTAGGGCGTAGGTGTGTACAGAACCGATTGGGTGTTCATTGTGTGCTATGCATGCGCAATTGACCAATTTTAGCCTCGTAATTAAGGGCAGACAATCCCTATTCCAGATTCTTCACTTTGGTTAGAACTAATGGCTAGATCTTTGTCAGAAAAGGTTTTCGTTCGAAATGCCTTCAGGGCCCATTTCTTGGTGGAAATAGCAGAAAACACAATAGGGTCCTGCACATTCAACACCCATTAGGTTCTACTGTATTCTACGGGATTTCGTGCATCTGTACAACGCGCAAAAGGCTTATTGCTGGATTACATCATAGTGTAGTTGATGCAGATACGCGGCAGGAACAAAAAAAGAAAGAACAGGAAGTGGCGTAGCGCATACAACTGAGCTGTACTTGTGCAGCAGGAGATCTGCTTGAATCATGCGTGCGCACACTACATCACTGAAGTCATCCTCTTCGTGACAGCAACCCATTCGGGCTGCACAGTATGGGGCTCTTGTGCTCTTGGGTCCTAGCACCCATGACCCCCCCCCCCCCACAGACACCAAAAATGACGTCACACATTCTGTTGGCCTGGCAAAAAGAAAGTTCTATCCTTGGCCAATATGAGATTTCTCCACAATGCGCACCAACACACGACTAATTTCTCATCTAATTGTCTATATCGGACATGTGTAGCAGTTTCAGTTCCATAGAATCCTCACCTGTGTACACGTACTGTCATCTTAGAAGAAATTTTGAAGACCAGCTTCCATAACATAAATTTTAATCAAAACAAAGAATTAGACCGGTACGCGGTAGAAGCCATGATGCATTGGCAACAACTGAGTTCAAGTTCAATGTTGATGTTTCACGATATGCCTGGGCATGTATTTCAGTACATGTGCATGCCAGGGGGTAATACATCTCTGTGTGCCCGTGCACAGATATGTATGGAACTCGACTTATTTGGCATAATAGGTGAATGCCAGTGTAATTCCACAGCACTGCTAGACTGCTCGTCGACTGATCTCTTTTTAAGGTAGCCACCGTGGATTGGCTGACCGGGCGCCACTGATATCCGGGATGTCGGTTTTGCTGATACACTGCAAGTGGTTTTTCCAACGGCTGCCGTGCACACGTGTGTGTGCACGTGCAAATGTGTGTGTGTGTGTGTGTGTGTGTGTGTGTGTGTGTGCATGTCACCAATACGCACTACACAACACATGCGTGGCACCTCCACATGCGGCTGAATGGGCATTGGGCACAAGAGAGTTCAGCCCAAGCTTGTCGGCCTAGCCGACGAGTACATCCATGGAACACTTGCGAAAACCAAGACTCTCGTAGAGTGCGATGGCGTTTTCTCGGAACGCTTCAGTGCGTAGCGTGGCTGCTTGCCTGCCCTGAGATCTGTGATAGCGCAGCACACACTGCACTAGGGCCTTGGCCAAGCCACGGCGGCGGTGGGCTTCCTTCACGCACACAAAGTGAACGCGTCCGTTCCGCACTGGCTGGCTGGCGCTGGGTATGAGGTCGAGCCAGGCGAACGCAGACCCCACTACTTCACCGCTGCATGTGATGAAGAACAGGCCAGCGTCTCGGTCAAACTGACCTTCCTTCGATGCAAAACTGGTACAGAAAATGAGCAGAGCATTACGTTGTGCCTAGACAGATAGTAGTGGTCATCTCTCTCCAAACACTTGCTTGGGAGTGGTCAACCACGTACATCTCTAACATGGCTCCTTGCCAGTGACAGGGCATATCCCAGATCACCCCCCCCCCCCCCCCCAGAAATTGTGTACATCTTTTTAAAAGAAGTGTGTGTATGCTGGGGAACAGGAAAAGGGGCGGGTCAAATCGACAGTTTTCGGGAAGGGTTTCTCACATTGCCATGAACACAGCTTGTCGTGGTAGTTTGGACAGAATACAAAATAGAGGACAGACGTCGCGTCACGACTAAGCACAAAAATGATTATCAACAAGCATGAGAGCTCCTGTCAAATAATTGGATGCCCTTCAAGTTTCTCGGCAGCGCAGAGCCCGAAGGGAGGTGCATGCAAGAACGTTTCTTTTCATGTGCCAGCCCCGCGATGCTAACTTATGAAAACAGCAGCAAACCAAGGATGTGACAGGACAGCTATTCATGAGGTTGGGGCACCTACATGCACACGCACAGTGCACATGCACAGTCGTACTCAATATTATAATCTGGGCCGGTGACTATTAGAGCCAGTGCCCTGCACCAGTACATAGCAGGGCCGGCGGAACCGGTCAGGCTGGTCCGGCCATGGCCGGACCACTTTCCCAGCTGGATGGTCCATGTGATTCGTGCAAAACCGGTGTAAAAAAAATCCAGAGGTATATGACTCGACTGTACTGCCGACGTGTGATGTGCTTCGAAGTAGCTCAGGACTCCGTGACCGGCACTGTATGGCTGATATGGATAAAAAGTTGTGTTTGTGTTCTTTTACTATAATTTTCTGCATTTTCTGGAGCCTTAGAGATGCCCAAATTCGCTCTATTTCACGTAAATTTTAAATATTTCTCCCGGGGGAGGTCCCCCGGACCCCCTCAAAGGTTGGCCGGACCACTCCCCAACTCCTTCCTCCGGGCCTGCATAGCCCAGAGTTTGCAGGTCCGAGGCCACACAGCCCGGTCACCGTAGGCCTGGGGCTGCACAGCGCCACCCATGCTAGCTGCCTCACAATGCTACAGTGTAAGACCAGATATTTTAACGTCAATTACAGCTAACGATCTGCGGATTTTTGCGGGTTAGCGAGGTGAAATTCTAATGAATTCTGTCTCAAAACTGGCAAACGACTGTACATGTACATATCGTTTAGTACATAACGACTTCAAATGTTAACGAATTTTTTAAATTCGTTAAATCGTTAGAATTTAATGTTCGTTAACATTACTGGCCTCTACAGTAGCATGCAGCACTGTGCAAACACGGAGTGACAACTGAAGTAAGGTGCTGCATGTGTACACACTAACCTGGCAGTGAATTTGTCGGCAGTCCAGAAACTTGCCGCCGACTCGCCAAATGTGTCAAGTACTACACAACCATACAAACGCGCACATGCCCCGTGACACACGGGAAAATACACGCGCGCACCAACCCAGACACACAGATACACACACACTCATGCACGTGCACACACACGTACAGTAACACACACACACACACACACACACACACACATGCACGAGCGCGCGCGTGCACACACATACACACACACGAGAGCGCGCGCGCACACACATACACACACACAAGCGTGCGCACACACACACACACACATGCCCATGCGCACATACATGCATGTGGCAAGGACTACATAACCAAGTCAACGTGCAAAGACGTGCACACGAACACACACACACACACACACACACACACACACACACACACACACACAGAAGAAGAAGTAGAAGTAGAAGAAGAGCTCTCTGCTCGGTGCGATGAACAAACAGATCAAAAGTGCCAAAATACGCCAGTTAGACAGAATGCCTCTTAGTTTCTACATTACGCTGGTTCACCGTGGCTGTGACAACAGTCCGCATACTAACTTAGGTTTGCCCATATCTCTGGCGTCTTGTCCTGCAGGTACAGACAAACATGCACGCACACACGCGCATGTGCTTACGTACATTGAGTATGCATGTGCCTCCCTCTGCTATTCGCATTCCTGTCATTGGGCATGCCGCGGTGCGGTTTGAATCCCGCCGTTGTCAAGTTGCTCAAACGGTTCCATTCATTGCAACTGCGCTGGCATATATACAAAATGTGTTTCCTCCGTCAGGAGTGCCCGGGATCAAATTGAATGTGTGCCGGCCACAACTTGTGTCAATGGCGGTATCAATGCGTACTACAGTGCTGGCAACTGGCGCGCCGGCAAGGGGGTCGGATTCCAGTTGCCAGCACTGACTGTAGTATGCATGTACATGTGCAGTCAGTCATTCCTTCCTTTTCATGATTGAGTAAACTGCCACTGCCATGCATGCCGTGCATGCCGGGACTCGGCCGGTTGTTACTGCTCAGGAACCTTGACTGGGCCGCGGGTGCGCAGCTCGGAGTAAGTTTTATCACGGTCCGCACTTGCGCCTTGGCAAGCCTCGGATGTGTGAAATCCGACACCTTTCCCCAAGGTAGCAGTGGGGTTTGCTCCACAATGCAAAACGCCCAGTTCACCCGACTCACCCCTCGCCAGCCGACCTCTAGAGCATAGCCCGTCGGGAGAGCGATGTCCTCTGTCATGATGGCCAGCTCACTGGTTTGCAAATGCTCAAAGATGAAGGCGAAACGCTCAACGTCCGGCGTCCAGTTCGTTTCCCACGGTGCTTTGGCCATTGTTCTCTCCAGTCAGCATGGTCTAGAGGGCACCAAAGTTACCAAACACAAAAAAAGTGTGCCATGCAACCTTCTTCCAACCAGAATAGAAGCGGACACAGACCGAACAGGAGCCGTTCATAGCAGCATCGCTGGAACTATGGGAGAAAAAAAGAAAAAAAGGAAGGTCGTCCCCGGGTGGGCTTGAACCACCAACCTTTCGGTTAACAGCCGAACGCGCTAACCGATTGCGCCACGGAGACTCCGATGAATGTACTACCGCTAACGAAAGATATAATGGAATGCATGGGTTGCCAAACCCAAATGAGCGGGGGGGGGGGCACAAATCAAAGAGGTCTCCTCAATGTGCGTGCGAATTTTACTTTACTTTCTGCTCCTTGATAAGAAGTACAAGTAATCATTATACTAATAATCAAAAGTACATGTGCATGGTTTCTTTTTGTGTAACAGGATTCTGGGTCAAGTCCAAACTGCTGTTTTTTACTGAATTTTGAGGGGGAAATCCCATTGCAGTCTGAAGAAAGAGTGGTTCTCGTACATGAACTCTGCAGCAGTATCACACCAGTCCATATTCACATTCAACCAGTGATTTCACCACACAGATGCTGAGGCACTGCTCTCGAGTGGAAATCCACGTGCCACCTGGAACAAAAACTGAACATGAATGTGATGTCATGAACGAACACGTTAATTTTCTGTACCGAGGTACGTAGTACATGTAGTTTATCATTCATGGGCACTGCATACAACACTAGAAAAGCCAGAAGAAGAGTTCTAAAAACACTCACAACGCTCTCAACAATAAAACCGCCGCAGCACAGAGGCATCAGCAAGAGACTGAAAATATAATCGATCAGGCAGTGTTGGGGAGTCGTTCGTACGACTGCCTGGGCAGTACCCAAGTGCGATCGAGGACCGGAGCCATCCATAGGCCGATGATAAATTATTTAGAAAAGTAGGAAAGGAGAAATTGAAAAGGGGGAGCCTAGTGGGAAGAAATGCACGATAAAATAGATGCGACGCGGTCAAGTCGTTGGCATGGATTTAGTGGGGGATCAAAGCTGCATCCAGTGGCTGTGAAAACTGAAGTATCGAAACGCGGCTGTGATAGCTGAAAGGTTTATGTTCACCACCGATGGAGAAGCAGAGTAGACAGCAAGTGTGCAGCACATCAATGCATTACGTTAAGCCTTTGCGGTCGGCAAAGTGTCTTTCCGGAGCATAGAGAGAGCAGTACATGGGCCAGCCGTCTGGTCCATTCTCACAGTTCTTTGTAGTGCTAAGCTAGTGTGTGTGTATCACATGCAACCGAACAATGTCCTGCAGGCCAGCAGAACAAGCATGTCTATGTACAGCGACCCGGGCTGAGAGATCCTGCTGTGTAGATGAGTGCCTGGCACACAACGACTTCTTGTGCCGCGATGGTGAAGGGGCTGCGGATTGTTCGAGACTTTGCGCAGCCCACCGAGAGTGTCAAATTAGCACGGTGTGTAGAACATTGTTACTATGATGAAAACTGCGGCCGGGCTTTGGCTGCAGCCGCACCGCTTGCGTCGGCCACCACGCGATCCAGCGCAACCCAGAACTCACTGGGACTGTCGAGCTCCACAACGCCAATCGGCCCAATCTCGCAGTCGGCGCAGATCAGGAACTTGCGGCCCTGGTGCGGTAGCGTGAATCCGACGTTCTCAAACTGCATCATATCGGTCAGCTTAAAATAGGAGGAGAGTGCTTCGCCGTCAGCCGACAACTCAATGCCCGCTTTCTTCTCCATGGCAGGTAGTCTCCGCTGAACAAATAGTACAGGCAAAGCAGAAGTTCCAGAAGACGGAGAATGCCAATGAGCACAGTACTGCTGCTGCTGCTGCCGTGAAGACGCAGGTAAGTTAATATAGTCAAATCTCATTAGGACGAACACTGAGGGACCGATGGTATTTGTTTGCAATAACGGGAGTTCTTATCCATATTTTATAAGGAGTGAAAACACAGTTCTCTATCCAATAGAGTTATAAACATTAAACTTTGTTCTTATAAAGCGAAAGGCACAACTCTTGCAGCCGGGTCAGATCCGGTTACGTTCAAGTGCGGCTACTGTAAACAGTACGTACATCAGGGAGTCGTAAATTTCTACTCCCTGATGTACATGTACCGGTATATACTCCCTGATATGAACGGTCATACTCCCCCAAGTCCCAACCGGGTCACACGTGACCGGTGTTCTTTTCCAAACGGGTCCAAGTACCCCCCCCCCCCCCACCCAATCAGGTCGATGACCCGGCTCAGGAGCAGACACTGGGGAACCTTTGTACAATGTACACAAGGGAGTTGAACTGTCACTAAGATCACACTGGATGGAAGCAGCCAAGTCAGTAACTACCTGTTTAGGAAACTTCACTTCTCAACTCCAAACATGGTCTCTATTCCAATTCAAATTAACATGACACCAAATTTTCGGGCCTGGCCCATCATCAAGGAATTGAAGTAACTACCTGTGCCCCAAAAAGCACAGATTGGACACGCGTACATGTGCACACACTGGTATTTGCCCATGGGCTATTTCACAGGATTGATTCGGTAGAAGATTTGAGGCTTCAGCTGTGTTGACAACAACTTTCAAAATACCATCCAGATTAAAAGCAGACGCACCAAACAGGATTACAGTGAGAGCATAATGTGGGAATGAATCTACAGGGATGGCAACCGAAATCCGACCCCTGCATTTTTACGCATGAGTGCCGCGGAGCTAAGACGAATCATAGAGAGTAGTGTACATGCCTCGGGCATACCAACAAAGCGTGAAGATCGCCGTTTGGCATTCAATTTCTTTTTTCGCGTATAGCTGTGTGCAACTGCATTGCCCATGCTTTGAGGCTCGTGTGGTCGCGTGCTGTGTTGGTGCAGTGCGAGCGCACTACTCCACGGGGTCAGATTTCACTTGCCACCACTTGTACCCTGCACTAGCCTGCAGCCCAGTGAAAGTTTGAATGGGATAATTATGCATTTCACATTTATCCGGATGATATAATTTCCCTGATTTATTCGTCCTGTGCATGAAGAACACAGTCATCGTCATGGTTTACACCAACATGGACACCAACATGGACGGGGGTAGCAATGAAACAGCAGTGAACGAGACTAAATGAGTTTTCAGAACCTTAGTACTGTTGTACCCTCTTCACCTACAGTTCGGTCTGTACGTGATACTGTGCTCTCACGAGTACACAGGCGTTTTCACATCCAATAGCCTGCGTGCTCGCCAGCTTTGAAAGACGTAGACCTATGCCTGTCATTCCCACACAATCAACTTGCTCCACTGCCATACTATACCGTATCTTAGAATTAAATGAATTGCACACAGGCTTCACACAAATGTACCTCCTGGTCGACGAACAAGGCTACACCAGGCTCAACGATTTTTGAGCCGCACCTTTTGCAGATCAGCCAGAGCCCATTCTTGCCATTATCGTCTAGAGACGGCCCGCTGGCCGCAGCTACAGTAGACTCACTCATTGTTCGCCAAAATACTCAACACCCTTCTCTGCGTAATGAGATGAAGGAGGGCATTTTACTTGTTTTTGTTGGATCGTCGACGCGATTCGTCAGCAGATTTTGAGACATTTCAACGTCATATTCAACGTCATATTCGCCACGTGCACGAATCATGCAAAAAGAGCTTCATTTTTGTCCACAAGCGCAAAAAAGGTTTGTAAAACCAACAATATTATTATTTTTATATTATGCACACACACGTGACGTCATGTACCACGTGCATTTTCCACGTGAGAGCTAGAGCCGAGGCGAGGCCGCGGGATACGGATTTGATTTCTGTATCCATGGGCTGAGTTGTGTTTTTGTCAGAGTGGTGAATTCCTTGTAAACGACTCTCATCCTATCTACATGACAGTGTAACTATTAACTTACTTACTTGTTTCTTCTGGTTATGGAGTTTGTGGCTGCAGTATAACTCGAAAGCTTCATTCGGGGCACGTTTATGCTGCCCACGCGCGTGCTGTATGCGCGGTAAAGTTTTCGAGATTTAGTACATGTAGTTATAAATTTTAGGTGTTACTGTTAGTATTTGAGAATGGCGGTGGCAGAGACAACCCTCTACTACGGTTCCGATTCCGGCACGGACTATGTGCACAGGGGTCGAACCAGTCGTGGAGGTAATACAGAGGACGTGCCTCTTATATCGGGGACAATGTCGACCAGCGAGATGGGGATGACGGTGAATGAATTCTCAGATCCACTATTTGCTGCTGACCTGAGATCAGTGGAGAGGGCTATAGATCAAGGCGTCCATCCGGAAATCATTGCACAGGGCAGCAGTGGAAGCTATTTTGCCAAGAACGTTGATGGAGTACGTGTAGAGTGGAATCTGTATTTTGCATTATTTTTTTACATTTTTTTGCAACTTTGAATTTGAATTCCAGGAGTATTGTATGTACAGTGAACCTTCAGTATAACGTACTCCGGATACAACATATTTGCTCTTTGCATCGGATATAACATACTTCTTTTAGGACCCTGCCCTGCCTACTCTCCTCCAGTTATTTCACCTTGGATCGAGAGTACCTCGGCTGTAGACTCGAGTGTTATTCTCAGAGCTACGCCAAACACACGTGTGACGTCATCACAAGGTGACATAGTACGTGTGGTGCAGCCAGGGTCCACAGCCTTATTCTGCATGTGTGTGTGTGTGTGTGTGCATGCCCGCGTGTGTGCACGTGTGTGTATGCCCGTGTGTGTGTGTGTGTGTGTGTGTGCCCGCGTGTGTACACGTGTGTGTGCCTGTTGCAGAAAATCGTTGGTGTGTTCAAGCCGAAGAACGAGGAGCCGTATGGTGCGCTGAATCCAAAGTGGGCAAAGTGGTTCCAGAAGCACTGTTGCCCCTGTATGTTTGGACGCGGTTGTCTCGTGCCCAACTTTGGCTACATGTCGGAGGCTGGCGCTAGTATTGTGGATGGGAAACTCAAGCTGAACATAGTGCCCAAGACCAAGGTACTCGTGTACTGTATGCCGTAGTATGCCTGAACAGTACACGGAGAATGCACAGAGAATGCGCCTGGTGTACAGAGAAAGTACTTAAATACCCACCGGGGGGTAGCTTAGCCTGTGCGTGTACATGTAGGCATGCAGGCTCATAGCAGTGTCAGCTCCAGAGCCGGGGTTGTACATGCAGTAGCAACACTTGAACGGACCTGACTCTGACCCGGTTGCAATGGTTGTGCCAGGTACACGTGTACCCGCCGTTGGTTTGAAATCCTGGAGCAGACACTGCACAGTCCCATGTTTGTGTTTGAATCTCCACTCTGCCCAAAGTCAATTGCCGTCGTCGCCAGAAACAGCAACAAATCGCCGAATGTTTGCGCCATCACGGTTCAATGTGAGGGGCGGTCTGCAGATTAACAAGTGTGCTGAACCCATGTCGTCGCAGGCAACTAACATAGTGACTTAGCAGAACTGCTGGTACAGGTGGAATCCTGATAATTGGAACCTCAAAATGCCAGGAAAAAAACTTCTAATTACATGTATCCGGACATTCTAATCATCCAAACATGAACCCACAACACAATATGTACCAAATTCTTTGTTGCCATCTTCATGGAGTGTGGCTGGTGAACTGTTCGTGCTGTGATCTGGAAGCGTCGTATGGTCTCGTCGGGTCAAAATGAAAAACCTATTACTACAATATGTACCGTAAAGTCTTGTATAAAAGCCGCGGCTTCTATGACTTTCTTGGTGAAATTTTGCAGGCTTCTATATGAGACAGGCTTCTATACAAGTCAGGTATTTCTATGTATGTCAACACTAAAACCAGGCTTATGTGTGATTGATGGGCCCAAAATTGCGGCTTCTATTCGAGGGCGGCTTCTATTCAAGTGCGGCTTTTATACAAGACTTTACCGTATGTCAAAGTGCTCTCATGGTCATGCAGAGTTGCATATATATATATATATGAACCTTAGACACAGATTTCACGGATACTGAACTGACCGGCACAGCCTGCTCATTCATGCAAACTGAATTGACCATACAATGTACAGTGGACTTCGAATTACACTTTGCTAACTTCGAATTATCAGCACGAATCCCACACATATGTAAGTGGAATCTGTGGAACTTCGAATTAACCGGACATCTCCAGTTCGAGGTTCGAATTTTCAGAATTTTTTACTTGTATGTGGGAAACGTATTGATAGAAATCGGTCCTGGAAAAACTTCTAATTAAGCGGGTATGTTCGAATTAAGCCATATTGGAATTATCAGGATTCCACCTGTAGTAGGTACTGTGTGAGTGTGAATGAGCAGAATAATCTTTGCATGCACAGTAGTGACAGTTGTCGTCCAAGAAGGGTGCGTGTGTGTGTGTGTGTGTGCGTGTGTGTGTGTGTGTGTGCGTGTGTGTGTGTGCGTGTGTGTGCGTATGTGTGTGTGTGTGTGTGTGTGTGTGTGTGCGCGTGTGTGTATGTGTGTGCGTATGTGTCTGTGTGTGTGTGTGTGTATGTGTGTGTGTGTATGTGTGTGTGTATGTGTCTGTGTATGTGTGTATGTGTGTGTGTGTGTGTGTGTGTGTGTGTATGTGTGTGTGTGTGTGTGTATGTGTGTGTGTGTGTGTGTGTGTAGTAGTAGTAGAATTTATTATTTTACTAGGGAACTCCCAACAGGCGTTGCGTGTGTGTGTGTGTATGTGTGTGTCTGTATGGAGACCAGGCTAAACTTAGTGCGGGTTAATTTGTCAGCCTTACGAACTGCTGAATGGTGCAATGATCCCAGCACAAGTTGCAATATCTAACATAGGTTGTTTGCTATCATCGCTTTTAAAAGCAATGGGCATGTGTAAGTGTGTCTGTCTGTGTGTCTGTGTCTGTCTGTGTGTGCACGACTGTGTAGGTGGTATGGCTGTCCAGTCCATCATTCCATTACTCAGCATTCCACCGTGCCGCCTCTCAGACTAAGCAGATGGCCTCGGAGCATCTGCCCAAGAAGCTGCGACGCCGGGTAAAAACTGGTTTACCACACAAGGTACGAGAGCACACTGCGGGAGCTTGTGGAGAATAACGGTACATTTAGAACACAAGTTTAGAGTAACTGTCCACCACTGTAACTAGATACTTCATGCAGTCAGGAAGTGCAACGACTAGGCATAAAAAAACTTGTATCCATATGTCTGTTTCCTTCTACATTATTATTGGCTCAACGTCCGAGTATCAAATTTAGGAAATGCTATGTCCTTGTAAATTCTCTAGTCTTGTGCATATACTATGTACCAATAGTGAATACCCTTGGCCCCAAGGTTGTTGATCTACCCGGGAGTGGGAGAGAACATAGAAGGCACCGACTGTTCTTTTCGTTCATCTTCATATACATGTACATGTACCGGTATATACAATGTCATGTACATGTGCTATTCACAAACGGCAACAGAGCAACAAAGTCCTTCCTTGCCGCTACTCAGAGTTTCGCATCTGGAAAAACACTCGTCAGTCGACATAATGTCACAGACTTCTAGCCAGGTCACAATAGTAGTGGGGGGGGGGGGGGGCATACCGTATTATCTCTAATATAAGCACAGTCTCCAATAATAGCACGTCTCCAATAATAGAACACCTTGGGCGGCATTCAAAAAATAACGTGCTCAGTCTCCATTATAAGCACACTGTGTAAATTCATTATCTGTACCGGCGAAAAACCGTGAAATGTGTGTGTCAGACATGAATTTGGTATGGCAACATGCCTCTGAAATGAGGTTGAAATAATAATGGAACAGTCTCCAATAAAGGAACGTCTCCATTAATAGCACAGAGGTACATTGAAAAAATAAAGGACCGTGCTTATATTAGAGATAATACGGTAGCAAGCAGTTACCCGAATCCCATTTTTCCACTTTCCAATATTGTCTTGCCACACTAAATGCAACGTATGGGGCGAATCCCTGGCTTCTCCCCAGACTAATGTGCCTTTATGAACCATCTAATAGTGACTTTCGTTGAATTGCGTAAAAACACGATAATCGGAAAATGAGTAGGGGGCAGCACTTTTTCACAAGGGGGGGGGGGGGCTGTGCTCTCCCCCCCCCCCCCCCCCCCCCCTTTGGCTAGAACCCTGTTATGTATACTTTAAGTTTGCATGTCAATAAACATGCAATATTTTCTTTGCAGGTGGGTTCATTTCAGCTGTTTGTTCGTGGCTACAAGGATGCAGATCATTGGCTAAAGGAGTTTGAGAATAACCCACCTCCACCGCACCTTGCCAATGAGTTACAAGAGCAGTTTGAGAGACTTGTCATCTTGGACTACATAACTCGAAACACTGGTATGTGATGTGTTATGCTGCTTGCGTTCTATCTGTCCGCACTGGTTGCCCCTGCCTTCCCCGTTTGTCTGTATTCCTGTCTGCTTGTCTATTTGGTGTGTGTGTGTGTGTGTGTCTCTCTCTCTCTCTCTCTCTCTCTCTCTCACTCACTCACTCTCTCACTCACTCTGACTCACTCACTCACACACTCTCTCTTTCTCCCTCTCCTTTTCTCTGTCTCCCTCATTCTCTCCATATTGAGGGGCTGTCTGATTTTGGCTGATCCTGTACAATTTGCATCACATTTTCCATGTTAGATCGTGGCAATGACAATTGGTTGATCAAGTATGAGAGGCCGACATCGACATCTCAGTCATCGACCGCCACCTCCTCCTCTGTTGAGTTGGTAAGCCTATGACTGTATGCACTCGTACATGTTCAGTGAAGCAGCACTGTACACTGTAGTATATACTGCTGGCAACTGAAATCCGGCCCCTTGAGCGGCGCGCTCACATCGCAAGGACCCAACACGGGATTGTAACACTATGAAATAGAGACCGCTCGATGCGCTAGAATGTGAACTCACCGCTCAGGGGGTTGGATTTCAGTTGCCACCGGTGGTGTACTACAGTGTGCAGTGCGCCGTGTACCACAGTGGTGCTCAGTGAAATCCAGTCGCGTCACTCGCGTGTGCGCCTTGCATCATTTTCGCAGCCCGGTGTGCGCAGGTGTAGGGTTTGTGCGGCCTGGAGTGACGCAGCTGGATTTCATGTAGCAGCATTGTAGTAGTCATGCACGCAGGTTGTATAGCTACTTTGCTGTAGTGACATCTTCTGTGTGTGCTCCAAGTAACCTTGTTTATTTCCTTTACCATCAACAAAGTATTAGATCTCTTGAACAGATTGTAGTTTGCGATGGCAAATGTTAGTGACGCAAATGTGGCAAAACATACGTACGCGACGGAAGTTTGATGTCCGGCTGGTCATTTGCACACGTCAGGCCGTTTACAATTTGTTGTGTTGTTTGTGAGTGTGTGTGTGTGTATGCGTGCGTGCGTGTGTATGTGTATACGTGTGTGTGTGTGTGTGTGTGTGTGTGTGTGTGTGTGCAACAGCTACCAGGGCTTTCCGACGTCACACGGGACCATGCTGTCGCAGGCACCAGCTCATCCGCCTCCGCAGCAACAGCAGGAGCAGCGGCGCGGAAACAGTCACCAGATGCCGGCGGCAGCGCGGACGCTGACGGCATGGTCAACGTCGGCTTGGACCCCGTGGCCGCTGTCTCTACGGGTAGCGGTGCTGATTCATCGCCAGCTGTGCGCGTGCAACCAGACGATGGCCGTGGCTCGATAACGATTGCAGCCATTGACAACGGACTGTCGTTTCCTTTCAAACACCCAGACTCTTGGAGAGCATGTAAGCACACAACACACCTGAATATGGGTTGTAGTATTGGTCAATGTTCCCACATAGGATGTTAATACGGGTGGAATCCTGATAATTCGAACCTCAAAATGCCAGAAAAAACTTCTTATTATCCAAACATGAACCCACAACACAATATGTGTGTCGAAATGCTCCCATGGTCACGCAGAGTTGCGCTATGGACCTTAGACACAGATCTCACGGATACTGCACTGACAGGCACAGCCAGCTCATGCAAACTGCATTGACCAGTACAGTGTACAGTGAACTTCGAATTACACGTTGCTAACTTCGAATTATCAGCACGAATCCCACACATTTTCTATGTAAGTGGAATCCGTGGAACTTCGAATTAACCGGACATGTCCGGTTCGAGGTTCGAATTTTCAGAAAATTTTAATGTGGGAATCGTATTGACAGAAATCGGTCCTGGAAAAACTTCTAATTAAGCGGTATGTTCGAACTTCGAATTAAGCCATATTCGAATTACATGTATCAGGATTCCACCTGTAATCACACTACCCGGTGTCTGCATTTGTGCTGTTTCTACATGGGTATTTGTGAATGTCTGCCATTGTGCTGTTTCTACATGGGTGTCTGTGTAAATAGTACATGTATGTTCAGAATACAACCTCCCCGGTCACCACCACTCAGAGCAATGTACTTTATCTCTATTGCACTCACATGCATGCACGCGTGCAGACACACACACACATACACACAAACACACACACACACACACACCTAGTTACCTGTGCACTCATGTTACACTTCTGCTATAATTTTCGTTCAGATCCGTACCACTGGGCATGGCTACCGATGGCCAAGAAGCCGTTTTCGAAAGCCACTGTCGATCACGTTCTGCCCAAGATATCCGATCCCCGCTTTGCAGAAGATCTCATTGATGATCTGCTCTCTCTGTTCAAGGTGAGTTCTGCCAGGAGTATGTACAGTAAACGAACACACTCTTGAGAGGAATCAAAAGCGTTTCTGCTGTCTGATGATCGGTTAAAACCGTGAAGCTCAGAGTTACAGCAGAAACGCTTTTGATTCCTCTCAAGTGTGTGTACTAGGCTCTGTACCTAGGTGTATTGAGCACTGTCGCGAGCAACCGCAACTCTCTCCGAGTTTACAGTAAACGTACGTGTGCGTGGTGGGATTTGAGCTGTCAGCACGTCAGGCATGGCATCTTCTACTTGTAATATCTATCATTACTGCTTCTCATACACTCAAACTACCACATAATGGTTCACATCCTATCTCTACAACAGCCAGTCATGCAACTAACGTGTGTTGTTACTTCGCAAAGAGGATGCATATGCTAAAATAGTATGACAGACGCATGCACGACCATGTACGGTGCAGTGCGCCTGATGCAGTACAGACCTGGTTTCCAGGTGTATGGTGTGAACGGTGGGCGAGTCATTCTCGTCACTTCCTTGTAACGTATTTGTTGCTGTGTTTCTATTTTCTCTTGCAGGAGGACAGTTCGTTCAATGTGCTACATTTCAACCAGCAAATGGGAGTGCTGCGTGGGCAGGTGCGTCCCTGGCTGGCTGCGTCACTCAAGGAATTGTTTGGCCTGGTGCTTGTATTGGCCATTGCATAGCAGTATGGGCGTGAGATGATTGATAGGTGTGCTGCGTGGTACACTACATGTACAACTGCATTTCACTCATTGAGATTGTTGATCTTTCTGATCGTGCATTTCGCAGTAAAAACTACAATGCAAGACTTAGCATGAGGCATGCATGAGTTGCCCCCCCCCCCCCCCCACACACACACTATGGTGGAGCTGTGGGCCTTTTCGGGGAAATACGCACAACGTGAAACGGTTGATCCTTGAGAAAATGGTGTGCGGATGGTGTTGGCGTTGCCGTCACTGACAGTTGTGTGGTCTTGTGCCCGCGCGCGGATGTGTGTGGGTGTGCTCGCGTGGGTGTGTGCATGTGTTCTGCCTGCAATTCCATTTTTACCCGGGTAGATACTGAACCTGGAGCGTGCGCTGCGCAACAGCATGACGCCGTGGGAGCTGGTGAGCATGCCGTCTTGCACCATGACCATGCGATCAACCGAGTACCGCACCGATAGCCACCTCAGCTTTGTGCAGAAGATTCACCTGCGCAAGCCCGTCTTTGAATTCTGTTAGGCTCTCTCACGTGTGTATGGTTTTCAGCGCTGGCTTGCTTTGAATTCTGTTAGCTTCTCACGTGTATGGTTTCGACCACTGACTTTCTTTCAAGTCACTGCATTCACAATTGAAAATTTAGGTTTTTTCCAAATTTCGCTTTAGCACTTTCAGACTTGTAATATTTTTCTATTGTCGCATACACCCCTGCCACTGGTTGATCCTATCTTTCCACGAACGCCATGAAATGTAACTCCCAGAAATATCCACTGCATGAGAGTCTGCAGCCATTTTTTCCCTCAAATCTCTTCAATACGCGGTTTTATTCCGTTTTGATCGCCACGCATGCTCTGCTTGAGACAACACTGCCCCTGGCTCTATTGTCCATTTATTCTTTTCTTTTTAATTCATTAACTATGCCAGTCTTGGGTATGTGTATGCTGCTAGCTGTTGCTTAAATCCACGTACGCGCTACACTGCTGCTTTTCAGGAGTGACTCTGCTGTTGTTATAATATTGCTGCTTGCACAATGTATCTTTCCTCAGATTCAGGTCGGTTTGAGCATACCATGACGTGACTTGGTGTTTTTTTCTTCAATCCTCTAATGATATGCTGTGTGATAAAAAAACAAACAGGCAGTTGTGTGGTATGGTATATTTGTACTCGCAAGGCAGGGGAATAGGGGAATTTCTGCATGCGTGTGTACGTGCTGGAGTGTACCCTCGTGCACCAAGGCACAGCTATTTTGCATGATTCGTTCGAGAATGCATGCACAATCTCTAATTCTTGGGTGAATTAACTACGTGTAGCTTCAATCCAATAACCACATGATAACTACGTAAGTTGGTTTCAGCTAACCACACGGAAAGCTTGGAGTTTGATTTTCTGCAGTGCACGGATATCCGGATGCCATGATGTAATGAAAGCAGCGCATCGTGCATTTGGCCCATACGAGAGAGAGAGAGAGAGAGAGAGAGAGAGAGAGAGAAAGTTGTATACTCAGACTCTGATACAATTATACAGTCGTGGACAAAGAAATCCGACCCATGAGCCAAATTTAAAGCAGCGCCAAGGCTCATGCGGCCCTCACAGGTGGGTTTTTGGACCGTGCGTCGTGCAAACAACGTGCTGCTTTCGACTCGCGAGTCGGATTTCTTTGGTCACCATTGTGCATGTAATCACAATAGTGCATGCAGGCCAGCGCCACGCTGACAGTACTCTATGTGTAGAACATACACAGAGCATAGGCATACAGTGGAGGAGGACGGGGGCAAATTTATTCATAAAAACTCGGAGCTTTTGCCCTTATAATACTGAACTATTTGTGAGTCCTTGTCATTCGTCTGATGAGTGTTCAATCGTGAAACCAAGGTAAATAACCCCCGGGGGTTACGTACTCTTGGTGAAACTCTAAACAATGTATATCAGTCGGAGCAACTTGATCAACATCGCACAAGTGCTACCTCAAGAAGTTCAAAATAAGTTCAAAATATTACTACTGTCAGGAAATAGACAGCTCGAGTAGCTGACTGCAGGGCTTCACCAGCATAACACATGCAGTAACTTATAGAGAAGAAGCAGATCTGCTAGCCAGTTCCAGTAGAGTATATGCGCAGAGGTGGTTGTACAGTGTAGAGTGTACAGTGTACAGCGTATCAGCCACTGAAATGCTGCAAGCGATGTCACCCACACATTCATCAAACTGCACGACAATGCAGTGCGGGTAGGTGGCATGTCAACAGGTCAGCCCACTTGGGCCTGCACGGCTGGCAATGCTCTGCTGGTAACTAGCGTGTCGACACACACACTAGGAGACATGGTGACACTCCTATAAGTACTCCTCCGGCCAGGGAGTAGTAAAAATACCAGTAGTTTACTACTCTCTGCCTCCAGCCGTGTTGTGTGCTGCCAGTACATATACCAGGACGATAGCACACGCAAAGGCAACGTTAACCAGTCGAGCCAGGTGCCGTGGTAACAGCAAGACCTAGTACACAACCGCGCTGAGCTTGGTTCCATCAGCAAATAGCCAGCGCGTTGCGTGCTGCGTGACTGCGTGTTGCCGACGCAATAGTCCACGGGGCGTGCAAGTAAGCCACACGGGGTGCATGCTGCACAGCAGCGCTCAGTCATCCTCCAGCAGGAAATCCTTGATCTGCTCCCTCATCTCAGACCTGCAGCAACACCAGTGCACACACACACGCACGCAGTTTTAGAATGCAAACGAACATTTCTACAGAATCTCAGCGCTTTCGACTCAGAATTTGAGTGAGTAAAGACATAATTATGAATAGACTGGTTGTCAGTTGCCAAGCCACCCCTGTGTTAACGGTGCACACATGGGTCATACAAGCAAAAGAACAAAAAGGTATCTTAACCTCTCTAATACTTGCCACGTGTTCAGTGTCCGCACTACCACGACGCACATGTAGGGCAAGGACACCACCAAACATAAACTGTGTCGCTAACAAAACGCCTTACCGTACTTCTGCACATATAAGCGCGCTTATGTCCGGACAGAAGCGCACCCCTCAATTATAAGCGCATGTGCTTACATGTGAACACAATTGGTGAAACACCCGGGAGCTGAATATACTGCCAAGCATTATGATAACACCTTTGTTTAGGACACAGACAAACCTGTATTGCACATATAAACTAACTTATTATAAGCGCATGGGCTTCTACCCGAACATGTTCAAACAGCAAAAAATATTTTTTGTAGCAAATTTTCACTTATAAGCCCATGGGCTTATATGTGGGGAAGTACGGTAACACACGCGCATGGCATGGACCAGCGAGCACAATAGCTACAATCAGTCATGCACAAGCATTCCTATGACATACCGATTAGAAGCCAACTGCACATCACGCGTGACTCGCGTCGGGAACAGGGATTGCTGATCTTGCTTCTACAAGCGTACACGCACGCACGCGCACACAAACACAAGATAGAGAGCACATAAATTCAGACTCCTATTCCCCAAGAAAACAGCATGGCTTGGAAATTTCAACAGCAGAGACCATACAGCAGCAAAGTGCAAAGTGCCTATGAATCCCACGGCTTTCCAGGGTCGAGTATGCAAGGGCTGGACTAGAACAGTAGGAATCTGACGTGTGGAGGCAAATATCCAAGCCGTGAATGTGTGAGAGCCTGAAAGAACGTGAGCAGTGGTGGAAGCAGCACACTGTACAACACACACACACACTCACCATGTCATGGAGCACAAGCCGACAACCTGATCAGATGAAAAAGGCACACACATCAGAAGATTAAACAGACACATATCAGAAGATTAAACACACACACACACACACACACACACACACACACACACACACACACACACACACACACACACACACACACACACACACACACACACACACACACACCTTGACCTTTGACCTTTGACGCCCATCGCCGGAGGCGATGATAGCAATGCTACGGCAGAAGCCATAGCAACTTGTGCTGGGATTACACCATTCAACAGCTTGCAAGGCTGAAGAATTGACCGTCACTATTCAGCCTGGTCTACACCATACAGCTATTTGGAGTGACATTTTCTGGCCAGTGAATCCCTATTTTTGGTGGGGGGGGGGGGGTGGGGACACACACACACACACACACACACACACACACACACACACACACACACACACACACACACACACACACACACACACACACACACACACACACACACACACACACACACACACACACACACACACACACACACACACACACACACACACACACACACACACACACACACACACACACACACACACACACACACACACACACACACACACACACACACACACACACACACACACACACACACACACACACACACACACACACACACACACACACACACACTACTACTACTACTATTGACAGCTGCCAGAAATGGCCACGCCGCTCCCCAAAGGGAGGTACTGTCAGAGAGGTTAGGGGAGAGGTAGGCAGTGCTTCAAATGGCGCTCCAGGTCCTGTCGCCTCCGAAACTGGCGTTGACTACAGACTCGGCAATGATGTTCAAAGTGCTGGCGATCAGTCACTGTAGGGCGCTTCGGGCGGGGTCCACAGCGATGGCGCTTGAGGCCAGCAGTAGACTTGAAAGTACGCTGGCAGGCAGTACACACCGGGACCTCGGCAACAGGAGGAGCATCAAAAGGCGGTCGGTCGTCACAGTTGTCACTCCCTAAGCACTTATGCACTGCAAGCCCACCCCTGCTCCGGAGCCATCTACTGCAGGCAGGACACTGCACCGACCCAGGCTGCTGTGATACGGGGAGCTGTCGGACTGCTGTGCACTTGTGCCGGGCCATGTCGGCGCGCCGACGAAACAGGCGGCCGCAAACGTGGCACACAATCGTCTTCGGGGCAGGCTCCTTCACCCCCGCTGCTGCCGACACTATGTCACGCCACTCTCCGCGATCATTGGCTGATTGGAACCAATTGTGCACACCGGCTACAGTCAGATCAGCCTGGACAATGTCCTTCCAGCGATGTCGGGGGCCGCAAAACGGGCGGGTTCGTGGAAGATGAGCGAAGAGCAACTGCTTGGGTAACCGATTGTTATCAAGCCGAGCTAGGTGCCCAAGCCACTCCAAGCGTCTTCGCTGTACCATGCACGACAGTGGAGTAGGGTCACCCCACTGTGTGCGTAGTTGCTCCGATGTAATGTGCTGCTCCCACTGGCGGCCGCGCGAAATGCCAAGGATTGACCGTAGGTTGGCGTGATGGAACCTGTCCAGCTTGTCCAAGTCCGACTTCAATGGGGTCCAACACTCCGAGCCATACAAAACCGTGGTGAGAACACATACCACATACAAATGCCGTCGAGTAGGCAGGTTCAGGCTCTGATCATGTAAAATCCGCCGAAGACAGCCAAAGGCCCTGGCACCCTTCGCAAGGCGGCTCTGGACATCGGCATGAGCTCGCGAATCCGGAGTTATAACAGATCCAAGATAGGGGAAGGAGGTAACAGCTTCAACCCTTTCATTGCCAACTGCCAGATCGGAACAATCAGCGGCAGCGACTCCATAGCCCGCGACCAGTAGCTTAGTCTTCGTCATGCTGACCGTGAGGCCAAAGCTGGATGCCACATCGCAGAAGGCGGACAGGGACACACACACACACACACACACACACACACACACACACACACACACACACACACACACACACACACACACATCAGACATACGCACATCAGAAGATCAAACGGATACACACCCTGACCTGAAGCACGAGCAAGGGCAAGTTGGCGATGGACCAGACAAACACAAAGACAGACATACCAAGAGAAAGAGATAAGGAGAAAAGTCACTTGCTGGTACCCCCCCCCCCCCCCCCCGGGATTCTTAGTAATTTCTTACCGTAGCATGTGAACGGCTTGAGCATTGCTGGTGTAAACCTATGCAAGCACACACAGACACACGTGTACACATACACATAGGTGGCGTGCAATAAGCAGTGTGAATATGTGTTAAAAAAAATGCAACTCTCAAGCAGCCCCCCCCCTCCCCCCCCCCCCCCCCCACACACACACCACCACCATCTCTATCTTTCAGCAACAGAATACTAACAGTTACATTTTAGCTATACATACACGTACAAGTACCAACCATCAAGTCAATCGTACCAGAAACTAACAAGTTGCAAATCTGACAAGGGTAATTAATTGCATGATAAAAACGAGTTTGATAATACAAGTAATTATTGTAGAGTGATTGGGAAAGAGCAGGTCTGCTCTAGAACACCTCTTCCTATTGCCGTATGCCATGGCCTTTAAAGCCATGGCCTTATATTCGAAACACCGCTGCTTTCCTAGATATTTTAGATGCAAAATGACCCACTCACTACGCCATGGCATAAAAGTCAAAGTCTACACAGGATTTCAATCTAAATCCACGTGTTCACCCTCCCTGTTGGGATGTGAGTTTGTTAGTATAGTTTTAATTCCTTCATTTTCACAAAACATACTTCAAATGAAGTTGGTTGCTCCAACGAGGAGCACACGCTTCTTGCCGAACTTGACACTTGACTGACTCAGTTCGGCAAGAAGCGTGTGCTCCTCGTTGGAGCAACCAACTTCATGACTATTACCGCCGAAGTCGCAACTTCTAAGTTCATACTTCAAATGTCTTTCATTTATGAAGCCCATGGGTTTATAACTGAGACTGGCTTTATAATCGAATATACCTCCATGGCTTTAAAGGTGCGGACATACGATATGAAGCTGCAGGAAGCGGTGCCTCTCCTACCTAAAAAAGTTACTGTAAATATACAAAATTTCGGCGCTGCAAAATTTCGGCACTTCACGATTTTTGACATTTCGGCGGCGATTTATTTTCGGCGTGGGGTAGAAGGCATGGTATAGTGCGACAGATGCTGTGGAAAATTTCATCGGCGTTTAATTTAGGCGTTTTGGGTCAGTGCCGAATATAGCCGAAATTAAATAGCTGCCGAAAATTTGTATATTTACAGTGCTTGAAGTAGCATTGCCATGCTGACCCACCACCAAACGTTCATTGCCATGCCGACCCACCACCAAACGTTCATTGCCATGCCGACCCACCACCAAACGTCTCGTCTTCCAAGACGTACTCCAACGTCACAACGGACAGGGCGCATGCGTGACACCAAGAGTACACGGTTTATGCACTCTTGGTGACACTACACTGATACATGCAGATAGTGATGTACGTAGCACTAGCATGCCTGCATGCAGGGGAGTCGTGACGGTGAGGGTTTTCACGACTCCCTGCTAACTACCGGTAGATCATCATTCTCGGCGCATCTTCTCTGCCGGATGGTTGCTGTTGATTCGTTTCAGTCATAGTTGTATGCGGTGTTCTCCATTGTCCACTGTGGACAGAACAGTTCATGCCAGCCGGTGAAGCCGGCGTGGACAGAGACTGTGGCGAAGTGGGTGTTTTTGACGGACTTGCTGCCGGCGCAATGTCGGACAGTGTGCGGTACAACATCAAGTACTTGGTCTCCAATCTAGATGTGTCACTGATCTTGGAGGACCTGCTGGAGAACGGTGTCCTTAGCAAAAAGGAATATGTTACTGCCTCTGGCAAGGAAAACGAGAAGTGGGATCTGTCCAAGCATGTGGTGAGGTTGATGTTAACGAAAACGGACGAACAGATGGATACGTTCCTGAAACTCATTGAACACAGCCAGCCTCATGTAGCCGAACATGTTGCCAATACTATGGCAAAGCGACTCAGCGCAACTGCCAGTGGGAAAACTGACCATCCGGCGAAGCCAAAGTCGGCAGATCAGGAGTCAATACTTGGCTCGTCCTCCGGTAAGTGTTTACATAGAAGATGATCCATAATGCTGTATGTTCACAGATAATTTCTCCCGAATTGGTCGAGAACTCACAAATCTAGCGCTTTTGAATTTTGATAAAATGCTCGAAATAATCGGATACTCGATCGAATATTATGAACGAGTGATCGATTGGTCAAAATAGATACTCGTTTCACCCCTAGTTTACACACATAATGACACACATTGTGAAAGACAAAAGCCTGCGGAATAGCGTACTGTGCGCGACGACAAAGGTAAACAAGGTTCTAGCCAGGAATAACTGTAGAGGGCGGGGGATGGGGTGGGGAGGGGTAGGGAAAAAAAACAGTTCACCCATTTTTCCATGTTCGTTATTGCCTTGTCACAAAGAAAGATGTAAACGTACTTGTGCACTGAGCGGATAGAACGATCGATTTGTGGCCGCAATTTTGCGGTGTGAAGTGAAAAAAGACGAAAATTGAAAAACAAGTAGGGCGGTGCACTATCAGAGGAGAGGGTGCGCCATCAGAATTTAGGCGCCCCTCCCCTGTCCTGTACGTGCTGTGACTCACTCTTGCACTGTGATTCCTTTTTGTACCGTATCCCTGATATCCCAACTAGACAAAAATGTGTTCTGAGCCAGTGGCATGCCTGAAGTACATGGAGAGTACAATCCCACTTGGATTTCTGCTTCCAGGGCCAAGCTGTTCAGATTCAAAGGGAGCTTTCATTAGGGGTGAAAATAATACACGGAATGGTACATTTGACTGATTACAGTTCGCTTTCACGAGTTGTGGAACATTTACAGTCTTTTTCGTGTCAGTTTTGCATCCTTGGCTGCTATTATTTGGTCGGATTCGGATCCAGATCCACAGGATCCATTCGATCTGCATTGATCGATTGGTCAAATCCAGATCCAGATTAGGATCCAAGCAGCCATGCCCCGGGAGCAGGGTTGACTGGATCCAGCGGATTCTCATTTTAGTGTTGCTAAAACCGAAGTTGGTATCGGCGGTTGACATTCACACTTGCACGTGGACAAACGTACGTGCAAACTCCTCGAGTGACTTTGGCCTGTCACTTTTCTACCTCAACAAGGTGATAGTAGTGGTGTGAATATCTGTGATCGATTGATTCTATGGGTGTTATCAAATTCCTTAGGTCGGACCCTAGAGCACTACAATCTCGTCTGCATGCTCCCTCGATCCCTCAAGACCACACACTCAAGCATGCAAATACGGCTTGTTTACACGTAAAAGGGATCCAGTGGATCTGGGATCTGGAAATGGATCTGACAAAACGATAACAGCCCATGTATGCATGTAATTGAATCATGTATGTGTGCGTTTGTGTTTGTGTGGGGGGGGGGGGGGGGTATGAGTTTGTGTGTGTGTGTGTGTGTGTGTGTGTGTGTGTGTGTGTGTGTGTGTGTGTGTGTGTGTGTGTGTGTGCGTATTTGAGTGTGTATGTGTTTACTGTGTACTGAAGTATATGTGTGGTTTTGGAACCGCCCGTCGCATATGTGTGTATGCATACACATGTGTGTGCACTGGAGTGAATGCCTGTGTGTGAGAGAGGGAGAGGTGGATGTGTTGTTGGATGAGTGTGATGATTGTATCAGTTTGCTTATGCTATTATACCGTCTCTACAGCACTGCCGGAGTGGGTGAACTTCCGCACCATCAGCAACATTGATCGAATGGAGAGGCTAAAACGCATCCGGGACATCGTGGCCGAATCCTCCCAACGTGTGCATGATGTTGGATGCTACCTTCTGGAGAAGGAATTCCCGCACAGTCCAACAGCGGTGTGTTCTCTTTTGCCTATCTCATTGTACTATTAAAATAGTATTTCTCAGACTTACTGTATATATAAAAAAATTTGGCGCTGCAAAATTTCGGCACTTCACGATTTTTGACATTTCGGCGGCGATTTATTTTCGGCGTGGGGTAGAGGGCATTGTATAGTGCGACAGATGCTGTGATATAGATGTTATGATTAGCATGCAATGTACTACCCGAAGTACTGAATTTACTTCTTTTGTACTCTATATTCTAATGTATCTTCTACCTCTTCTCCCCTACGAACATACTTTCTCATTTTCCACACTTACTTAGGAGACTCCCTTCGATAGGCATCTATTTGCCTCTGGAGGATCCGTGAAATAAAAATCAAATCAATGAAAAAATGATGCTGTGAAAAATTTCATCGGCGTTTTGACTTAGGCGTTTTGGGTCGGTGCCGAATATAGCCGGAATTAAATAGCTGCCGAAAATTTGTATATTTACAGTACCGTATTTCCCCGTAAGTTAGTTCTCCCCAATGACTTAGTACCCCCTATAAAAAATACACTTTCCACTGCCGAGGTTATCGCCCCGAAAGACAGTTCCCCCCGAAAGATAGTAAGTTCGTACCCGTCCTACATGTACAGACACCGTACAGTACATACATCATATGCACGGACACTAGAGTTGCGCAGGCTTCCCACTGCGTGTCATTTACCCCCGATAAAAAAGTACTCCCCGAAAGATAGTACCACCCCGAAAGTTAGTACTCATGTGGTTGCTAAGTTCTAAAGTTAGTACGTACTAACTTATGGGGAAATACGGTAGTTTTACCTCCCCGGCAAACACCATCTGTTCTGAGGGCCACAGGTAACCGATCCACCACTACACTGGAAAGAGAGTGCACACGCTAGCAGTGTTGGAAAGCAGCGGTGGGAAATTCGTTTATGCCAAAACTTGCGAGAAAATTTGGAAACAGTATTTACACAAGAGTTACACAGCGGAAAGTAGGGCTTTTTGTTGTAACTCAGAGTTTCCATGGTAACAACCAAATCATCAGACAACTTTTATTCTTCTTTTCCTTGAACATGTTTTCACACTGATATTCGCCTCCATCATCAACTAGACTTACTGCTGGCATGACGGTGCGGATGCACCAGCAGCAGCACCACCACTGCACGAACAACTGCCTCCACAGCCTGCCGCCGAGTCACCGTTTTCTGCGAACAACAAGACAGTGAGAACGTGTATCGCCATCAACTTGTGCCTGTCGCTTTATGATGGTGGCCACCATGGAGAAGCGCTCAGTACACAAAGCACACAGAACACACACACACACACACACACACACACACACACACACACACACACACACACACACACACACACACACACACACACACACACACACACACACACACACACACACACACACACACACACACACACACACACACACACACACACACACACACACACACACACACACACACACACACACACACACACACACACACACACACACACACACACACACACACACACACACACACACACACACACACACACACACACACACACACACACACACACACACACACACACACACACACACACACACACACACACACACACACACACACACACACACACACACACACACACACACACACACACACACACACACACACACACACACACACACACACACACACACACACACACACACACACACACACACACACACACACACACACACACACACACACACACACACACACACACACACACATACACACACACACACACACACACACACACACACACACACACACACACACACACACACACACACACACACACACACACACACACACACACACACACACAAGAAGACCAGGGCAATCAATCTGGCAATCTTGGCAAATGCAGAAAAGCAATGATGTGTGATCAAATCATTTCTTCTCCTGTGCGTGTGTGCATGTGTGCGTGCGTACAGGCGTGCGCGTGCTTGTGTGCACACACCTGCACATGTAGAGGTGCATGTAGTGTAAAGCACCGTCGATGAAGCTTACCCGGAGCAGCACAAGACGACAGCGCAGGAGAAGCGATAGTAGTTGCGGTGGTAGCAGCAGAACTGGAAGGGACAGCAGCAGCTGCCGATGATGCCATCGCCGCTGCTAATGATGTCACTGTTGCTGCTGCTGCTGACGTGTTGGCTAGCACGCCGCCGAGCAGGTGACCGGCAGCTGACCTCGCTTTGGTGAACATCTCGGTTTGGTCATCAGAGCCAAACGGTACGTCCATGGGTGACTACACACGACAATCACAATACACAGAAAATGAACAGAAAAAAGTGTCACAAACCCATTTTAAAATTAAAACGATGGAATGCGCTTCACAAACTGACACCAGGGCTAGTTAGGGCTAGTTAATAACGTTACAACAACACTACTCAGCAGCAGCAGCAGCAACAGCAGTAGCAGTAGTTCATACCCACAGTACAGTACTTAGACAACACGCAGGCGCTTACCCCGCAAAGGACGCAGCGTTCGTCAGACACCGCTGCTCCACCGGCCACACTCAACTTCTCGCTGGTCCTGGACACAATGCAAACGCAGGCGGACAAGACAAACGAAATGCTGACTTCATCCCTCCCGTCCATTCTTTCTCTGGGTCGATGTCGCAAACCCAATCTCAAGTTCTCTATATCTTAGTCAAGGTCATGTTTGACAAACACACACACACACTTCAAAGTAACTTAGAACACAGCAATGAGCACGAAAACAAGCTCAAACAACATGAACAAATCAGATGGAAAAGATTCAGTCATGAAGCCGATGGAGCAGCGAGGTACTATTGCGCTAAAATAGATCTCATCTATCCACTGGAAAATAAGGGATACACTCTACCCAAACTGCAAGCAAACCCAAGCAACACCCAAGCAAACCCCAAGCAAAACCCAAGCAAACCCAAGCAAAACCCAAGCAAACCCCAAGCAAAACCCAAGCAAACCCAAGCAAAACCCCAGGGCCCGTATACTTCTGCTACACATGTAGGGCTCCCCATACCCAGGACCGGGTACTGCCTGCAGCTAGGAATTTCCCGCAACTCAGAACATACACACTGCTTCCATGCAAATAAGCACACGTGTACACCGATCACTATCCATGCATGCATGCCATGGGGTGATGCTTTTCGCTGAAAACCTATTCAGAAAGTATTCTTGTGACTCTAGAGGGCCCGGCATACGGGTGTGCCTGGATCTGGAGAGCTAGCTGAATATATGAAGTTGATGATGGTACACTACTAAGGTACTATCTATAGGGTATATCTGCTCAACACCACCTACAGTAGCTACATCTGCTCACCTAAACACAGTACTGACGGTTGACGGGAAATTGGCCTGTAGGTCAGTTGACAACACCAACACCAACACACACACACACACACACACACACACACACACACACACACACACACACACACACACACACACACCTTTGACCTTGACCTTTGACCTTTGACGCCCATCGCCGGAGGCGATGATAGCAATGCTACGGCAGAAGCCATAGCAACTTGTGCTGGGATTACACCATTCAACAGCTTGCAAGGCTGAAGAATTGACCGTCACTATTCAGCCTGGTCTACACCATACAGCTATTTGGAGTGACATTTTCTGGCCAGTGAATCCCTTTTTTGGTCTTTTTTCTTTTTCTTTTTTTCTTTTTTTTTTCTTTTTTTTTTTTCCCGCACACACATCACACCACATACTCCGGCATGCACTGGCTGTTGGTAACCACCCAGGAGAATGAAGGAAACACACACACACACACACACACACACACACACACACACACACACACACACACACACACACACACACACACACACACACACACACACACACACACACACACACACACACACACACACACACACACACACACACACACACACACACACACACACACACACACACACACACACACACACACACACACACACACACACACACACACACACACACACACACACACACACACACACACACACACACACACACACACACACACACACACACACACACACACACACACACACACACACACACACACAAACATTATTAGTTACGTTGCTTGGTTTTTGGCCAAACCACAGCTCCATCCGGGCATCAGACTGCACGGTGTACAATGCATCAGCACACCAGCAGCATCATGAGCAGTAGCAGCATGGGCAGTAGCAGCATGGACAATAGCAGCATGGACAATAGCAGCATGGACAATAGCAGCATGGACAATAGCAGCATGGACAATAGCAGCATGGACAATAGCAGTTTCCCAGTGGCCTCTCGTCAAGATGGCGGCAAATCCGAGAGTACAAAAATGTCGGTGGATGCGAATCTCGCACGTGCAGATTCAGGCATGCAAAATCTAGCCTTCTGCAGGTCTGGGTAGAGCAAGTGTGTAGGAACGACCTTTTCCGAGAGAAAACGTGGCTCTTGTCATCCCAACATTTTACTCGCCACGCTCTCCCTCCAAGCTTATTGATACGAGTATCCGCTACCGAGTAGAAGTCTCCATCTTCACAGTAGGCCAGGCACAATCGCAACGCTGAAATACTTTGCTCTCTTGGTTTTTCGGTCCTTTGAGGTGTTGATGTGGTTGTCGTGTACAACTCGAAGTGACAAACTTGAGGTCCCCGCGCCACGAAGTTTCGTTTGGATGTTCAATGAAAGGACGTATGGAAGCAAGGATAAAAACTATCGTGGCTGCTGGCAAAACTCCTAGTAATGTAAGAAACGGGGTGTGACTTTGTGACTTTGGTACTTCCAAGGAAAATGAACGCACAGCCATACCACAACGAAGACGAAACTACGACCTCAAAAACACTCCGATTTTCAAACAAACGACGCAGGAAAGAAGACATGGATGCAGTGTTCCAGTGAGTGCGTTCGATTACACACTTGAATCGATTCATGAATCGATTCAAGTGCATTCAAGTCGTTCGATTTTCATGTCATGAGCCCTGGAATCGATTCGGAATCCATTCACTCTATTCACATGGGGTGATGTGAATAGCGCGAATCGATTCATGAATCGATTCGTGAATCGATTCGCGTGCATAATCGAACGCACTCACTGTGGTCTTCAAAACACCTCATTTTACTACGATAGCGGCTGGTTCAGGGCGAATTCAGGCCCAATTCGACAGTGTCGTACCGCTCAGATTCGCCCAAAACACGAGGAAATGTACGGTGACATCCCAATGCGTACGCATTTTGCGTACGGGGACGACTGGCCAGAGAGCATGCACTGCAAGCACCCGTGTGCGCTGCAGGTCACTCGCGTTGTTTTCCAACGCCCGAGCCAAATAACGCAATCCGAACTTTCGTGGCACGTCACGAATAACGTGCGTCTCTATTATCAGTGTTCGGTGTGGCACTGCTGAACTCCTGTCATCCTTATGTTCACCATCATGTCTCAAAGTGTCAGTATGAACAGAAAGACTTCAGTCACTTGCTAGTGCACGTGTTCTCTCTCTTCTCTCTTTCACAGGGTTCGCACAGGAAAATCACCATCAAATTCAATAACTTTTCTAAAACTTTTCTAACACTTTTCCACGACCAAACCATGTGGACAGCGATGAAGCAGCAGAAGACGAAGCAGCGGTGGACGAAGCAGCGGTGGACGAAGCAACGCTCGACGAGACGGCGGCTGAGGAAACATTGCCTCCTTGTTTCATTATGCTGTTGGAAAGGCATTCTCCAAAGGATCCAGATTTTGCAACATGCATGTACGCGCAGTTGCTTTCAGACACCCGCCCAAATGCATGGATAAATCCACACGTCGCAAGTTTGTTTTACGAATCAGTCGATTCTCACGATTCACGGATTCAACGACTCGATTCACGAATTAATTCAAGGGCGAAAACGCAATCACTGGGCCAAGATCAAGCAATCAAAAATTCCCACATGTCAAAGTCATGCACAAGCAGCCGCAGCAGCAGAAGCAGAAGCAGTATCGGGCTGCCACATCTGGACAAGACGCATGGCACTATAATGCTTGACTGGAGACAGAGAGGGCGGTCTTGACTAGGTTGAGGACTGTGGCATCACTGCTGCACTGCAGATAACGGACAGAAACGGTTGCTCACCTGCAAGCCGAGCACAAATGCTTCCGTCAGCCGGTCCAGACTGGCATTCTCCGGCACCTAGTTAGCCACAAACAAAGCAAGAAAATGATGCAATTACCTCCAAGCAACAGTGCACAAGCATAGCTATTAGCTACTGAATAGAGAGGTTTGGCCAAACGAAAATGCGTACAAACTTTCGCTCTGCATCACCAACTGAGAAACTTCACACGAACTTTTGCAACTTTACATACGAGACTTGCATGACAAGCAAAATGAATTTTCGTGAGAAGTTTCGTCAGATCAGGAGTGGTCAGCTTTGTTCGGTTTGTGCTTTTCAGCTTTTCTTCTTGGTGATACTACAACGTTTTCTACTCTCTTTTGTTCTCAACCATGGAGTCCTGTGCCGGCTTGAGTGTCACATCCTCGCTTCCAGAGCCGCTGTGTCGTATTGCGTTCGACCTTCAGATGGACTTAAGCTGTGTTCACAACTGGCGCGTGGACGCGGTACGCTTGCGGTTCATACGCGTCCAAACGCGCGCTCAGCCTTTCACAAAAAACAGCAATCCGAGTCGTATTCAGCGCGTGCGACACCTTCGAGTACTAATTTTTTGACCCCGCCAGTCAAAGTGACTGGCATGTACGCTGATACGCGCCTGATACGCGCTGAAAATTCCAACATGTTGGAAGTTCCATTTCGGCGCGTTTCCGTACGCATGGCGCCCCAAAAGCCAGCAAAAATACGCACAAACGCGTGGTCTCACGCGTACACGCGCCAGTTGTGAACACAGCTTAAGATTCGGTCTGCCATATCATGGCACACCCAAATCCCTTCGTCCATCGTTCTCCGGCGATGGATAACGTCACCGAGGAGCTGTCGAAAAAGCAGGACCCAGCACGCTTTTCGAGATCACCTGATGAAGATGCTGGAACAC